GATATTTACCTACATCGCAAATAACCGCCGCGCCGAGAGGAAAAATGGAAAATTTGGGGGAGAGAAGAAAAAAAAAAAACAAGCAAAAATATCCAAAGAAACCCCAAAAGCGTTACCAGATTTTGTAACACAGGCAGGAAAATTTCATTTATTTATTATCTTTGTCCTAAAATCATCCATATTTACATTCCTTTACGGAAAAAGAAGAGAAATCCAACAGCACAACTTTGCCTTGAGACACTTAGATATTCATTAAGAATCCAAATATCTCTATTTCTCAGGGAATTCACGGCATATTTTTGCACACGATGCTCAGTATCGATTTAGGCTCAGATTTTAAGAATTTGGGCTGGAACATCCCCCAAAGTGAACAAAAACACGCACAAAGTGGATGCCACCGGTCTTGGGATACAACCATAAAACTGGGGGTGAAGGAAACATCAATAAATTGAAAAAAAAGGCTGATTTTAAGGCAAATTTCTTCAAAATTTGACATGTGACTATTTTTTTTAAAGAAAAAAAATCTACTTTGGCTCAGCAGGATCCTGGTGTAAAATCCCGCAGATTATTTTAAATGAAATACTTAAATAAAAAAATTAACTAAAATATTTAATTTTTTTTTGCAAATTTAAGGAGACGCCGTCCTTACCCATAGGGTTGCTGTTCATCAAGAAAACCCCAAAAGAGGCCCCGGACTTGTCTTCCAAACACAAGAAGAAGGTCTGGACGCCGTACAAATTCTCCACGTTCTGAAAGGAAAAATTTTTTAAAAAGCTGATTTAATAATTAAAAAAAAAAACAAAATGAAAAAAAAAAAAATCGTTAAATAAAATAGTTAAATATATTGATTTAAATTTTAAAAATTAACTAAAATATTTAAATTTTTTTGCAATATTTAAGGAGACGCCGTCCTTACCCATAGGGTTGCTGTTCATCAAGAAAACCCCAAAAGAGGCCCCAGACTTGTCTTCCAAACACAAGAAGAAGGTCTGGACGCCGTACAAATTCTCCACGTTCTGAAAGGAAATTTTTTTAAAAAGCTGATTTAATAATAATAAAAAAAAAAAAAAATGAAAAAAGAAAGATCAGGAACTTTGCACACCCCAAAATGTGTGGCGTTTGGGAATTGATGGGAATGTATAGGAATTTATAAAAATATTTAAGAATGGCGTTTGGTGAATTGATGGGAATGTATAGGAATTTATAAAAATATTTAAGAATGTGTGTGAATATTTAGGAATTTATAGGAATACCTAGGAATTTATAGGAATTATTAGGAATTTATGGGAATTTCTAGGAATATTTCGGAATGTGTGGGAATTATTATTAATTTATAGGAATATTTAGGAATTTATAGGAACAGTTAGGAATTTATAGGAATATTCCTAGGAATTTATAGGAATATTCCTAGGAATTTATAGGCATTTTTAGGAATTTATCGGAATATTTAGGAATTGATAAGAATATTTATTAATGTTTAGGCATTATTAGGAATATTTATGAATTTGTGGGAATATTTAGGTATTTATAGGACTATTTCTAAGAATTTGTAGGCATTTTTTGAATCTATGGGAATATTTAGGAATTTCTAGGTATTTATAAAAATAAGAATGTGTGTGAATACTTAGGAATTTATAGAAATATTTAGGAATTCATAGGAATTCCTGGAAATTTGTAGGACTTTGTAGGAATTATTAGGAATTGATGGGAATATTTATCAGAATATTTGGGAATTGATTGGAAAGTTTAGGAACTTATAGGAATATTGAGGAATATGAAGGAATTTATAGGAATATTTAGTAATCTGTAGGCATTTATAAGAGTATTTCAGAATTTCACAATTCTAACAGGAATTTCACTCGGCGCCATCTCCCATTTTATGACACGGGGCGAGGTTTTAAGGGGGGAAAAACCCAACCACCAGCGGATTTCAAGGCGGATTTTCAAGGAATTTTCTGGAATTTTCTGCAAAGGAGGAAAATAAGATAAAAAAAAACCCAAAAAAGGCGTAATTTACCCCGGAAGGGGCGGTGTCGCGGCTGAGCATGGGCCAGGTCCTCCAGTTGAGGTCGTGCTGGAAGCGCTTGTGGACCTGCTCCCCCACCCCGTAGACGTTGGAGCTGGGGAGGCGGATGGAGAGCTGCAGGAACTGCTCCGAGAAGATCAGGGGCCCGATGGTGGAGTCGAACCTGACCCCAAAAAGAGGAAAAAATTCCCAGATCCCAACCCCATGGAGATGAACCACCTCATCTCCCAAATTTTAGGTGGAAAGTCCTTCTGTCCTTGTTATACCATCCCCCCCTCCGTTATTTAACGAAGCTTCGGTGATTCCTTTGGTGACACGTCCCATCGCTCGCCCCAAATAGGACCCTTTGGGAGAAAAATGTTGGCTGTTTTCAATAATAATTTAGAAATCGTGAATTTTTTTCTCATTAAGAACATAAGACGCAACTCAAATGACTTGGATTTAATTTGTTGTTAAAAAAGAAATGAAATGAAATGAAATGAAATGAAATGAAGAAAAGAGAAGATAAAAAGAAAAGAGAAGTGAAGAAAAAAGAAATGGAAATAAACCTCCTCATACACCAAATTTTAGCAGGAAAAAGTCCTTCCATCTTCTTTATCCACAAAAACCAGTTCCCAGAACCCAACCTCACTGAGACAAACCTCCTCATCTCCCAAATTTTAGGTGGAAAAGGTGCTTCCCTCCTCTTTATCCATCAGAAGAAGGTGCCAAAACCCAACCCCATGGAGATGAACTTCCTCATCTCCCAAATTTTAGGTGAAAGTCCTTCCACCCCCTTTATCCCCCAAAAGAAGGTGCCAGAACCCACCCCCAGGGAGACGACCCTCCTCGTCTCCCAAATTTTAGGTGAAAGTCCTTCCACCCCCTTTATCCCCCAAAAGAAGGTGCCAGAACCCACCCCCAGGGAGACGACCCTCCTCGTCTCCCAAATTTTAGGTGAAAGTCCTTCCACCCCCTTTATCCACCAAAACTAGGTCCCAGAACCCAACCTCAGTGAGACAAACCTCCTCATCCCTCAAATTTGAGGTGGAAAAGTCCTTCCATCCTCTTTGTCCACCAAAAGAAGGTGCCAGAACCCAACCCCAGGGAGACGAACCTCCTCGTCTCCCAAATTTTAGGTGGAAAAGTCCTTCCATCCTCTTAATCCACCACAAGAAGGTCCCAGAACCCAACCCCATGGAGATAAACCTCCTCATCTCCCAAATTTTAGGTGAAAGTCCTTCCACCCCCTTTATCCACCAAAAGAAGGTGCCAAAACCCAACCCCATTGAGCCCAAAACGTCCTCATCTCCCAAATTTTAAGTGGAAAAAGTCCTCCCACCCTTGTTATCCACCAAAAAAAGGGGCCAAAACCCAACCCCATGGAAATAAACCTCTTCATAAACCAAATTTTAGGAGGAAAAAGTCCTTCCATCCTCTTTATCCACCAAAAGAAGGTGCCAGAACCCAACCCCAGTGAGATGAACCTCTTCATCTCCCAAATTTTAGGTGGAAAAAGTCCTTCCATCCTCTTTATCCACCACAAGAAGGTCCCAGATCCCAACCCCATGGAGATGAACCACCTCATCTCCCAAATTTTAGGTGGAAAGTCCTTCTGTCCTTGTTATCCACAAAAAGGAGGTTCCAAAAGTGAACCCCAGTGAGATAAACCTCCTCATCTCCCACATTTTAAGTGGGAAAGATCCTTCCATCCCATTTCTCCCCCAAAAGAAGGTGCCAAAACCCAACCCCATTGAGCCCAAAACGTCCTCATCTCTCAAATTTTAGGTGCAAAAGTCCTTCTATCCTCTTTGTCCATCAAAAGGAGGTGCCAGAACCCAACCCCAGTGAGATGAACTTCTTCATCTCCCAAATTTTAGGTGGAAAAGGTCCTTCCCTCCTCTTTATCCATCAGAAGAAGGTGCCAGGACCCAACCCCGGTGAGATAAACCTCTTCATCTCCCAAATTTTAAGAGGAAAAAGTCCTTCCATCCTCTTTATCCACCACAAGAAGGTGCCAAAACCCAACCCCATTGAGCCCAAAACGTCCTCATCTCTCAAATTTTAGGTGGAAAAGTCCTTCCATCTCCTTTATCCACAAAAACGAGGTCCCAGAACCCAACCTCAGTGAGACAAACCTCCTCATCTCTCAAATTTTAGGTGGAAAAGTCCTCCCACCCTTGTTATCCACCAAAAGAAGGTGCCAGAACCCAACCCCAGTGAGATGAACTTCCTCATGTCCCAAATTCTAGGTGGAAAGTCCTTCTGTCCTTGTTATCCACAAAAAGGAGGTTCCAAAAGTGAACCCCAGTGAGATAAACCTCCTCATCTCCCACATTTTAAGTGGGAAAGATCCTTCCATCCCGTTTCTCCCCCAAAAGAAGGTGCCAAAACCCAACCCCGTTGAGATGAACCTCTTCATCTCCAGATCTGAGGAGGAAAAAAGTCCTTCCATCCTCGTTGTCCACCCAAAGAAGAGAAGCGGGAGCTCCCGGGGGCTGAGAGGGAACCTGACGCGAGGCAGATCTTTGGCAAAAAGGAGAAGGCATCACCAATTTAGGGCTAAAAAGGGCTAAAAGTTACTCACAAAACTTTTCCGTTGCTGGCGCGGGTCACCTTGATGCCGAAGGGCTCCTGCTGGATCTCCACTTGGTATTTCCGGTTGGAGGCCGCGGGGCCACTGAAAGGTCCCACGTGCTCATGGGGGACCTCGAACCTCTGCTTCTCGGGGTCCGTGATCTTGGGGGGTTCCAAGAAGAGGATAAATAATTAAATTTGAAATTCGTGCCTCATTTTGACATTTTTTTCCACAGCCGCCAAATAGGACTTGGTCAAAAAAACCAACCCAAAAACAGCCCGAAAAAGTGTCAAGAGCAATAAGTGACACAATTAAGAAGAACCCAAGTGTGGAGACAAACCCAAACTCTTTTTTTTGGGGGGTAGAATTGAGGTATTTTCCCATTTTTTGCTTCATCTGAGGGGAATTTTCCCCCGGGAAATGGCCCAGCCCCTCCTCAGCAGCTCGTTTCTGGGGGTCCCTCCCGGCTGCCCCCCCAGAGCCAAACCCAGGAAAAAGTGTGGGGAACCTCCTCCAGCCCCAAAGAATTGAAAAAAGAAAAAAAAAGAGGGAAAAAAGGGGAAGAAAAAAAGAAGAAAAAAAAAAGATGAAAGAAATGGAAAAAAAATTAAAAAAAAGAAATAAAGAAGAAGTAAAGAAGAAAAAAATGAAGATAAAGAAAAAAGAAAAAGAAGAAAAAAGAAGGAAAGGAAAGAAAAGAAAAAAGAAGAAAAAAGGAAAGAAGAGAAGAAAACAGAAAAAAAAGGAAAGAAGAGAAGGAAAAAGAAGAAAAAGGAATAAGAAGAAACAAAGAAGAAAAAAATTAAAAACAAGAAAAAATTTAAAAAGAAGAAAAAAGGCAAAAAGAAAAGGATATAAGAAGAAAAATAATAAAAAATTAAAAAGGAAAGAAGAAAAAAGAAAAAAGAAAGAAGAAAAAAGAAAAAAGAAAAGAAAGAAGAAAAAGGAAAAAAGTAAAAAGGAAAGCAAAATTTAAAAAATGGGGAGAAAGAAGAAAATAGGAAAAGAAGCAAGAAAAGAAAGAAAAAGAAAAATGAAGAGGAAAAGAAAAAAGAGAACGAAAAAAGGAAAAAGAGAAAAAGAAAAAAGAGAAAGGAGAAAAATAGAAAAATAAAAGGAAAGAAAAGGAAAAAAGAAAAGAAAGAAAAAATTTGAAAATAGCGAAAAAATAAAAAGGAAAAATAAAAAGGAAAAATAAAAAGAAAAAAGAAGAAGGGAAAAGTCAGAAAAGACAAAAAAAAATAGAAACAAGAAAAAAGATGGAAAAAAAAAAAA